ACCCATCCATCCATGCATCCACTCACCTGCCCACCCACTCATCCATCTACCCATCCATCCACCCATCCATCCATCCATCCACTCACCTACCCACCCACCCATCCACCCACCCACCCATCCACCCACCCATCCATCCACCCATCCCTCCATCCATCCATCCATCCATCCATCTACCCATCCATCCATCCATCCATCCATCCACTCACCTACCCACCCACCCATCCATCCACCCATCCATCCATCCATCCAGCCAGCCAGCCAGCCACTCACCTACCCACCCACCCATCCATCCACCCACCCATCCATCCATCCATCCACTCACCCACCCATCCATCTGTCCATCCATCGTTCATCAGTCTACCCACCTATCCATCACACATCCATCCATCTAACTACCCATTCACCATTCATTTGTCCATCCATCCACACCCCCGTCCTAATATCCTTTAATCTGCCTTCATGACCTCCTCTTGTCCACCTGCCAGGACCCCTGGTGGGTAATGGGGATGCAACGGGTGACCAAGACAGACCCGCTCTTGTGGAGTTTGTCAAATGACGTTAATTAGCAGGTCACTGCTAAGCGTCTGATGACAACCATGGGAAGGGAAGTGCCCTGGAGCTTAGGGGCCCCAGGAAATCCAGGAGGATGAGCAGGGAGGCCCCAAGAGAGGAGGAGAGAGATCTGGGCGGAAGGGATGGTGTGTGCAAAGGCCCTGGGTGTGTGGAACACAACTTCTTCAGGAGACAGAAGGATGGCCAGAGCAGCTGGAAGGGAGATCAGAGGGGCGGTGGAGTGAGGGGCACAGCTGGACAAAGCTTGGTGCCAGAGAGAGCCGCTTGGGGCCTTTTGAGCACAGAGGTGATAAGATTGCCAAGTGGGAATTAAGCTGTGGGGGACAGGATGGGACTGGGAGGTGGCGGGCAGAAAGGACCGGGCGGGGGGATGGGGGGGGACTGTCAGATTCTGGGATTTGTAGGCCATTCATTCCTAGCTCTGGGTCCTCCGAGGCCCAGGTTCCCCTTCAAAGACTCTATCTAGCACCCCACCCCGGGCATGTGCTAAGAACTGCACAGACTTGGAATCCTGAACTTCTCCCCACTTTACAGATGAGGAAATAGAGGCTCTGAGGAATGAGGTCACTGCCAAGGCCACACCACTGGGAGGGGGTAGAGCCTGGATTCCAACCCCATCACCTCCCTATCCTGCTCCCTGAGTCGGGAAAGCCAGGCGTGGGGTGCCCCATGGTGACGGGGGCTGGGAGCCTGGGCCCCGCACAGCTAGCTCCTGCCCCATTCTACCTTCAGTTCTTCAGTCAACAAACGCTGCTTGCCCCAGCTTTGCCCTCAGGGAGACCTGGGGAGGGAAGCAGTAGAGACGGGGGTTCAAACTCCACCGTGCCGCCTTGGCCAGTAGCTTCCCTTCTCTGAACTGGGTGCCCTGTGGCTTGGGCCTCCCTTGTGCCTCAGCGTCCTGCTCTGTAAACTGGGGATGATGGCCCTCCCCCGACGCGGGCTACCCTGTGCCTTGTTGGGCCGGGACCCCCCTGGGAGCTTGTAGACAGGCCTGCGCCCCCTTTTCCAGGGAAGGAGGCGGAGCTCAGAGGGGAGGCCACTGCTGGGAGCCAAATGGGCACCAGGTGGCCCCTCTGGACTGGAGCTCAGACCTCTTGCAAGCCGCCTCCTGGTGCTTCCTCCCAGCCACCCTTAGGTCTGCCACCTCCCCCTCCCCATTCAGTGGGTCCCTCCACCCAGCATGAGGTGGAGGGGGCCCTCTCTCCAGCCTGAGCCTGCAGCCTGCAGCCTCCCCATTTCTGATTCCAAGAAGGCTGCTGCTGAGGGGGGGAGTCCTGGGGGTGCTGCCATGCCCATCAGCCGAGGGCTCTGTGGACCCGGAGAGGTTCCTGTTTACAGAAAGGGACATGGAGCTGGGCTGGGAGCTGAGCTGACCAGCTGGAAGGGCCTCTCCCAGGGTCGGGCCCCTGGCCCCACAGGGCAGGCCTTCGGGACCTTCCCCAGGTGCCTTCCCGCACCCCCCTGCCGTGCCTCAGTTTCCCCAAATGTGATGGGGTGGGGATAGGAGTGGGGCTTCCGGCTGAGCTGGACCGTGGTGGGGTCAGGTCCTGGGGCTCCTCCCCCACTGAGTCCCCTCCTTCACCGGTAGCAGCATCCGTGGAACCCACACTTAACTCACACGTTTCTGGTCCCCGTACTAAGCGTTTTGCAAATAGTACCTCACCCTGTGGAATCTTCACTCTGACGCTGCAATTCAGGGGCAGGTGTTATGCCCATGGACTGCTGAGAACACAGAGGCACAGAGAGATTTGGGCACTTGCCAGAAGTCACACAGCAGGAATAGTTGGCACCAGGATTTGAACCCAGATACAAGGCTCCGGACTAGCGTCCTGAGCTACTCAGCGCAGAGACCGGCACAGAATAAACTCACTGCCCTCCTCCCCCAACCCAGCTGGGAGGAAGAGCCCGCTCCCAGCGAGGCGAGGGTGTGTGGGGAGCGAAGCCCCAGTACCCAGGCCGGCCTGTCATCAGGACGCCTGAGCCGGTCACCTCGCCATCCTGGGCGGTGGCTCGAGGCCCCTGTGGGGAAGAGCATTGTTCTAGGGTCACCCTTCCTACTGTGGCACTCCGGGCCCAGCAGGGGTGACTGACATCAACCGAGTAATTGCCCGAGGGTATTTTTCATGAGAGCTGAAGTTAAGGTTTCATGGGCTCTGTTGGGCTGTGATGCGGGGCAGGCAGGGCAGGCTTCCTGGAGGTGGCAGTGAAGTGGTGCATTCATTGGTATCTGCCTCCTTTGTCAGACTGTGTGGCCACGCCAGTGTTGCCCCCAGAACAAAGGGGGGCTCCATGTTTCCTGGGTGAGCAAAGTTGAGACAGCTCTTGAGGGAGCCTCACTTTCCCCATCTGGACAATGGGACTCTAAGCCCCACCTCACTCCAAGGTCAAGTGGAAGTGTTGGAGGGGCCTCTGTCCAGCTCCAGCTCAGTCTGCCCCCCCCCGGCCCCCTTCTGCTGTTGAACCAACCGTCACTTCAGACCACCTCCATCCCAGCTCCAGCCACGACGATGCTCGGGGACATTTCTGGAAGAGAGGAGGCTCCTGGAATATGATAATTAAATAAGGTCTAGGCTTCCCCTGCTCTGCATCAGTCTTGCCAATACATTATCTTGCTGGACTTGGGACTGGTCACTCGGCCTTGGATTCCAGAAGAGGAAACTGAGGCTGGGAGGGAGGAAGGAGTGAGGACAAGGGGGGTTGGGGCCAGCAGATCACAAGGGTGGAGGGTGGAATCCCAAGACACGCTGTGGTCTCAGAGCTGCCAGGCCTGAGTCTCCTGGTCTCACCCTTGCTGGTTTAGCCATCTGTGAACTGAAGGGGGGGCCTCTCTCCTTTCTCCCCGAATCACATTTGTCATGGGAGCCACCAAACCTACCGTTAGTATTTACCTGTGTATTTCTGTATTGGCGTCCTTCCGACCAGGACACATCCCAAAGCCGGCAGCTGCATGCCAGCCACAGCCATGTTCCCAGCGTCCAGTAGGTGCTCGATAAACATCTCTCCCATGGAGGAGCAGCGCCCTGGCCGGCTTCTCGGGTGTCTGCACCGAGCCGCGTCTCAGCGGCTAGCTCCTTGTTTCTGGAAAGAAACCTTCACCTTCCTCATGTGCAAACTGGAGACAGCCATAGGACGTACCCGCCGGTTTTTGTGGAATGAGTTGGGGGGAGGGCGCTGAGAGCCTGGAACTGAGAAAGCGCTCGGTAATAAATTCAGCTGCCGTTATTATTATTGCTGTTCTTTTACTCGTCAGCGTAAGTCGGGAAGTGGCCCTCAGAGGAACTGAGGCAGGGGCCTGGGGTTTCGAGGGGCGTCAGCAAACCGCCACCACATGCCTCCTTCCCACCACCCCTTCAGTCCCCGAGTCCCCGCGAGGCTCCTCGGTTCTGCCCGCTGGGGGCTGCGCAGACCGCCCGCCCGGTCCCCGGGGCAAGCGAGGCGGGGGAGGAGGGCGGCCGTACTAGGAGGAATACGGCGGCGCGGCGGCCAGCTGGGCGGTTTCCCGCCGCCGCCGCCGCTGGTGAATGAGTCCGACTGCGCTGCCGCTGCCGCCCGACCGAGGCTGCGCCCGCGTCCCCGCGCCCCCAGCCTTTGCGCCGAGACCCCGGCGTGTCCGCGGACCAGCCAGCCTCGGCCACCGTCCCCGGGCAGGTGAGTTCGGGGCCCCGCCACGCTCCGCGGGGGCTGCTAGGACCCCACCCCCACCCCCAGCCGAGTCCCGCGGGGCGGGGTGGGGGAGAGGAGGGGAGGGGTCGGTTCGCCGCGCCGCCAGCCCCCAGACTCACCTCCTCTCCCTTCCCTCACCCCGGATGCCTGGACCCTCGGCCCGGGAGAAGCCACAGGTGGGTGGGAGCTTGGGGGGGCGGAGCTGGGACACCCCAGGGTCCACCGTACGCCCTGGGGTGTCTTCCCCCTGGACTGAGCGCGGACCCCTTTAGAAAGCGCTTTGAGATCCTCAGAACGGGGGTGGGGGCGAGAGTGGAGCCGCAGTCCCCTGGGAGCTTCCCGAGAGTCAGCGCCGCCCCCACCTCCCGGGCCGGGCTTCGGCACTTGGAAGTTAAGCGCGATTCCTCTGGGGAGGGGAGGGGAGGGGAGGGGCGAGCCCACCCCGCCGCTGTCCTGGGCCTCAGCGCCTTCTGACCCCGCTGGCCCCCTGCAGGGCTCCCCCCAACGGGTGCCGGGAGCCCCTCTTCCAGCCCCCGCGTGCAGGGGGGCCTGCAGCTCCCGACCCCCGCTTCTCTTCCCAGGCTCCGCAGATCCCTCCAGGCTCCTGCCTCCGCCCCGATGAAGAAAACCAACCTGTGGTTCTTGGAGCGGCTTCGTGGGTCAGGGGAGAATGGAGCTACGGGGGGCGAGGGTGGGGACAGGGCCGCCAAGGGGCCCCTGTACAGCAACGTGCTCACGCCCGACAAGATCCCGGACTTCTTCATCCCCCCGAAGCTGCCCGCCGGCCCCACGGAGCCGGAGGCTCAGGCTGAGCTGGGGCCCTCGACCTCGGAGCAGAACCTGGCCTCTGCCGCGCCCCGCCGCGGCCCCCGGAGCCCCCGGCTGCCTGCCAAGCTGGCCGCCGAGAGCAAGAGCCTGCTGAAGGCGGCCACCAGGCATGTGATCCAGATCGAGAGCGCAGAGGACTGGACCGCCGAGGAGGCCGCCACCAACGCCGACCCCCAGGCCCAGGGGGCCATGTCGCTGCCCTCGGTGCCCAAGGCCCAGACGTCCTATGGCTTCGCCACGCTGGCCGAGAGCCCCCACACACGGCGCAAGGAGTCTCTGTTCCATAGCGAGCACGGGGCTCTGGCCCAGGTGGGCTCCCCGGGCACCCGGCGCCGTCGGGGGCGCGTCAAGGCCAACGGGGGCGATGGGGCGCCCAGGGAGGCCGGCGGTGCCCTCATGAGCCCCGGCCGCTGCGTCAGTGGCGGGGAGAGCGACACGGGGTCCTCGGCCGAGTCCTCGCCGTTCGGGTCCCCCCTGCTCTCGCGCTCCGTGTCGCTGCTCAAAGGGTTCGCCCAGGACAGCCAGGCCAAGGTGAGCCAGCTGAAGCACTCGGTGGGCCGCCACGGCTCCCCGTCGGCCGACGACAGCACGCCGGACACCAGCCCTGGGGCCCGGCGCCGCCTGGCCCGCAGGGCCACCCCGGAGCCCGGCCCCGAGCCCGGCGCGGCGCCCCGCGCGGAGCACGCTGTGCGCATAGGCCCGCGGGGCAGCGTGCGGCTGCTGGCGGAGTATGAGGCGGCCCAGGCCCGCCTGCGCGTGCGCCTGCTGGCGGCCGAGGGCCTCTACGACCGTCTCTGCGACGCCCGCAGCATCAACTGCTGTGTGGGCCTGTGCTTGGTGCCCGGCAAGCTGCAGAAGCAGCGCAGCACCATCGTCAAGAACAGCCGCCACCCCGTCTTCAACGAGGACTTCTTCTTCGACGGCCTGGGGCCGGCCAGCGTGCGGAAGCTGGCGCTGAGGATCAAGGTGGTGAACAAGGGCAGCAGCCTCAAGCGGGACACCCTGCTCGGGGAGAAGGAGCTGCCCCTGACCTCTCTGCTTCCCTTCTTGTAAAGGCCCCCACGCCCCCTCCGGCCGGCAGAGGAGACCCCGCCCCCACCCGGATCCGGCAGGGGAGGTGGTTTCCACTCAGGCTGCCCGGCCCTGATGCTGCAGCCCATGTTGGGGGTGTCCTGGGTCATGCTGTTTTCCAGAGGAGAAGGGAGGGGGCTGCCGGGGAAAAGAAGGGGTCAGCTTGCAGGGCTGAGGGTCCCCCTGTGCCCCAAGTTCCATGCCCCTGCCTCACCCTTCCCGAGTTCTGGAACCTGGGCCAGGAGGCAGCTAAGGCCGATCACAGACCCAGAGGCCGCCGGTCCTGAGGCCCAGTCATATCTTCTCCTCTGCTGCATGAGTGTCCTCCTGCCACCGGCCCGCCAGACCCTGCCCCCCGCCCCCCCCAGAGATCAGGGCCAGGCCCAAGTTCTGCCCACGGTGCCCCTCGGGGCTGTGGGAGAATCCCCTCCTGGGGTGGGCTGGCTCTGGGCAGTCCTCGGTCCTCCCAGGCTCTGGAGGCGAGAGGCACGTCTGAGAGCCACTGCCTGGCAGACAGGCAGCCGTGGAGGAAGTCCCAGCAGATGAAAACGGGGGCAATTGCTCCCCTCCAGCCCCTCGAGCGAGACAGCCCTCGTGTCAGCTGTTTTCCTCCATCGCCTTCTCTACTCGGGACCCTGTGGCCCTGCTGGACGTTGGGAACTTCCCTCCCCTGGAGGGGTTGCTCAGAACGTGCCCAGAGAGCAGCGCCAGGCCGGGGGCCCCGTTCCTCCCTGGCCCCTGCCCCCTCCGGTGCATTACCCAGGAAGTGATGCCCAGTGACTGATGGCCTTGACGTTTACTCCACTCGTGTACATAGGTTTTGGTTAGGGTGGGTGGGACAAAGGGGAGGCTGGGGAGACCCTGGTTGTGGCTTTTCGTGCTGCTAAAACAGCTGCATGGGTTTAATTGTGTCAGTTTGTGGGTCCTTGAATGATTTCTGTGGAGGTTTCCTGCTCACCGAAACAGAAACGATACAGTTTGAAGCAGGGGCCAGGCAAGGCCAGCTCTGCCCCTTCACCTCTCCTGGGCTGCCTGCTGGGCGAGGATGGACCCGGCCAGTCTGTGGGGATCCTGGGGTGCCCCTCCCAGTCCAAACGTCGTCCCTCCTGGCTCTGGGTCTCCAGATCACCCTGGGGGAGGGATGAAGGAGTGTGTTTCCCTCCAGCGCCCCGGGGGGCGGGGGGAGGAGCACGTGTTCCCTTCTGCACATGTGGTGAGCCATACCTGTGCACCCTTGAGGCCGAGAACGAAAGCCCTTGGCACTAGGGTCCCTTGCTGTGCCCCCTCCGGCCTCTGTCCTGGGCCTGCTCCCTTAGGCCCTCTGCTCCGGGGGACCACCGGGCCAGGCCTGTGGGTGGAGGGGGCAGACAGCCCTGCATGGAGTGAGATGCTCAGACTTTCAGCCCCCTTCTCTGACCCTGACCGCTCACATCCCCGGCTTTCCTTCTGGGGGCCCCCGTTTTATAGGCCCCTGCACTGTTTGACATCTGTGTTTGAAATTGACTGTGGGTACATCTTTAAGACAACCTCCCCCAAGTGTTTGTTTATAACTGCTGTTTTTAGTGCAATAAAGGTGTTCCAGGGATGCGGGGGCGGAGATCTGCTGGCTTTGCTGTTTAATAACAAGCCAGGAGTTTTGTCTTGAATTCCAGGGAGGGTGGCGGGAGCCTTCAGGATGAGTGAAGCCCTCCCCACCCAGCCTTTTAGAGCCTCTGGGCCTCTCCTGCTTGGGGTGGAGGCAAGGTAGCGAGACTGCAGCAGGGCAGGGACCCCCAGGCCCTGTTAGGAGGACATGAGACGTTCATCCCGCAGGTGTGCGTGAGAGCGCTGCTCTCGCCCCGCCAGGGCCGCGAGCATCCCACCTCATAGGTGTGGAGACCCCGCCTTTCAGTCACCCTCCCAGAGCCGGGATGTGAATCCGCACCCTCACTGCAGCCACCGGGGAGAGCCATGCCAGGATCGGCCCCTTCCGCGCTCTGACCTTCTGGGGACAGAGACTGGACGTGCAGGGCCGTCGTCGACGGGGACCCCCTCAGATGCCCCTCGCTCCCGTCTGGTCTGCCCCAGCCCCTGCAGTCAGACAGGAGGGCAGCCCCCACCCTTGTCACACACCCTGGAGACCCCCTGCCAGGGGCGGTGGGTTGGGGGCGTGGGAGCCGGCTCTGGGCCATTCACATCTGTGCCTTCGCACAGCTTGTTCTCTCTTCTTGGAATGCCTCCTGCCCCTCAAGTTCCCTGCTCTCAGTCCCTAGCTGACATGGCACCTCATAGAGGAAGCCTTCCTGGCCCCCTCTGCTGTGTGTTCCCTGTCCCACCTCAGCTCACAGGCTGTCTGGGGTCGTATCTGTCTCCAACCCCAGGGCCGGCAGGTTTATCTCCGTGAAAGGCCATCTCCAGCCCCAGCACTGCGCTGGGCCCCAGGGAGGCTCCTCAGTGTGTGAATCCATGGAAAGCCGTGGCCTGACCCTGTCTCTGGGTTCCTGCAAGGTTGCTGGGGAACCGGGGAGCTGGCAGTGGAGGGCGAGGGTCCCAGCCCTCCCCCTTCGCTCCCCCTTGAGGAACTGCCCGCTCTTTCTAGCTTGGGTCCGACCCTGACTTCCCCTGTCCCCTGGGAAGTGGCTTCCTTTCACTCAGGGACCCGGGCTGGGGGGCAGGCCTCCCATCACGGAAGCCTGGGGGTCAGGCAGTGCACAGGGACGGGAGGGCGTCTGTGCAGCCCGGGACTGCGCAGCCTTTGCGAGTGTGGGAGTTGCAGCTGGTGTGGGCTGTGTTTGCTCCATTTGACAGGTGGGGAAACTGAGCCCCAGGGTGTGGAATCAGACCAGCTGTTCCCTCACCAACCTTGTGCGGGTTGGGGTCCTGAGCAGCCCCCACCTGCTGACAGCCCGCCAGATGAGCTGCACTAACCAGGCCTGGTCGGGTTCCAGGATGTGTTGCCAGGGCAACCGGGCGCCTTCTTGCCTCTTCCCCACCAGCCACTCATGGACGGGCAACCGGTGTGTGCGCGCGCGTGTGTGTGATGTATGTGTGCATGCACACATCCACGCGCCTCTGTGCACATGTGTAACTGTGCTGTAGGCCGTATGCACGTGTGTGAATGTTAGTGTAGCCACGTGAGTGTGAGAGTGCAGCCGTGCTTGCACCTGTGTGACAGTGTGGGCATAAACACGTGCGTGCACGTGTGTGCTCACACACCTGTGTGGACTGTGCACGTTTCTGTGTTTGCACCCTGTGCATGTATGTAACCCTGTGTGCACACATGTTGCTGTGTAATGTGTGGCTGTGCGCGTGTACGTGTGTTTGTGCATGTGTGCTTGCGCTGTGGCTGCCCGGTGCAGCCCCCAAAAGGATGCCCCCAAAGACATAAATGGACTCAGGAAGACCCCCTCCCTCCCCTCTCCATGCTGGTTCCCCTCTGGGAACCCCCTCTCCCACGTTCTCTCCCTCTACCTTGAGGTCTCAAACCACTGCCTCTTCCCCAGGGCAGCCCCCACCCCAGTGAGGTCAGACACCCCTTTTATATTCCTTGTTAGTGTCATACTCGGCCTTGTAATATTGATGCTCTCAGAATAGTCTGTTGTTGCACCTGGAACACCCCAGTGCTCAGCCCAGGGTGCAGATGAAGGTGGTGTCAGCACTCTCTCCTTCCAGCCCGGCTGCCATCCAACATCTTCCTGCTCTCAGTGGGGGCTGTGGTCATCCAGGTCCACCACTAGCAGTAGGCACCTGATTTGGTGAAGATCGCAAAACCATGCCCCTTTCTCAGAGTGGGGCCAGCACAGGAGACAGCAGAGCAAAAGATGAGAAGTCAAATGCCTGGCAACATGGTGGGCACCTGGATCCAGCTATGCCTGCAGTCCATTTCACCATTTCAGTTCAGAGGGCCAATAAATTCCCTTCTTTGCTTAAGCCAGTTTGACTTTTTTTTTTTCATTTGCAGCCAAAGATCACTGATACAGCATCTCCAGTCTGAGGAAGGAGGAACAGCACCGACCTGGGGTGCCCCAGTCTGACACGGGAAGGGGAAGCAGAGAAGGAAGGCAGCATGGGGAAGGCCTGGGATTTGTATATCCCACAGAGCTGGAGAAAGGTGGCCCTGGAGTGAGGGGGTGAGCTTCCCTCAGGGCATTCATCAAGAAAGGCTTTGCAGAAGGAGCAGAATCTGAAACAGGGAAGGAGCTCTGAGGCAGCAGAGACATTCCAGGGGCCTTGGGAATCCAGCCCGCAGTAGGCCTCCATCCCACCCCACCACAGCCCTGATGCACTGCCCACCCTAGTCTGCCCTCTGCCTTCACCTGCTGCTCTGAAACCTTCCATAGTTCCCAGGGCCCCACACCCTGGCATGGGAGGCCTGCTACGGGCGCCCTGCCCTGCAACCCATGCACTTCCCCGGGCCTGGAGCGACCCCCTCACTGGCACCCGATGTCTGGAGTCTGGGAATCTGAACCCTGACAAGCGAGGGGAGTGTTCCACGGCGGAATTCAAGCCCCCGATTTTTCACTCGCCCTGCGTTCTTGGGCAACTCACATGGCTTGTCTCGGTCTCAGGCTCCCCACGCGGTCGCTGTGATGGGTCCATGCGCGGCCGCAGGCGCAGGGCAGCGATGGTATTAATCTAATCACATCAGGATTTTAATTACAGGCCCCGTCAGATCCACTGAGGCCCGGGCTCCCCTGGCCTCCGAGTGCCGAGGGCCTCTCCCCCCCCTCCGCCGCCCCCGTGTGGGATTCAATTAAGCCTTTGTTTTCTTCTCAGCTCCTCCGCGGGTGGGAGGGAGGGGCTGCCCGCAGCCGGCTCTGCTGACGCGAGGAGAAAAATGACTTCAATAAAAAGGAGCCGCGAGTGGGGAGCGGATCCGGGATGCGCACCCCTCCCCCGCGAAGCCGCCTGACCGAGGCCGGAGTCCCGGCTCCACTGCGAACAAGCTGGCCTGGCTCTGGGGCCTCAGTTTACCCGCGCCCCCCCCCCCCCCCCCCCCCGCCCCGTGCAATGGGG